AGGTGTGAGCTATGGTGACACTTACCTGTTGAGCACTGTTGTTGACGTTTGGCAGCTGGCGCTGATGAGCATGTGTTGATTGAAGAAGACTTGTAACTCCTGTCTCTTATACACATCTAGATGTGTATAAGAGACAGACCCAGTAATACCCCCCCCCTCCAGAAAAGTTTCTCAGCGGATTTGGGCTGTACTCAGCAAGCGCAGCACAACCCCCAACTCAGATCTGAAAAGAAAACAGTGAATGACTGTTTTCTGACTAGTCGGCAGACCGCCGACCGGTCAGCCCTACTGGTCGGCTGCAAAATGGTCGGCGGTTGGGGTTGGCAGTCGGCAGGTATGTGACCCTGCTGGCAAGTCGTGAGGATACAACAAGATACACACACATGCTTCCTTCCGTTCTGCCAAAGGTCCCCCCCCCTGAGCAGCATTGATCACGCCATTGTCATGGACGATTGACTGGCAGCCTGCCTTTTTTCTCAAAGCCCTCTCAGCTAGGGTGTACCCTGACTGTCGGATTGTGCTTGAAACTTGAGACTTCTGAGAGAAAAAGACCCGGTCTGAACACAGTTGCTCATTGTTGTTGGGCCGTATCCGTGAAACCTCTGATATCCCCTGTCCGTGTCTATCCACGTGTGCTTCGCTGCAGCCCACTTCTGCAGGTCCTCCTGGTTGTCGTCTTACACCCAGGTAGGAGCTGGTGGTTCTTGTGTCCAGGAGGTCTCCCAAACTGTTGCTGTGTCTGAGTTTTGCCAGTCCTTCCACCTCAAGCTAAGTCCATTTAACCATGCAACTTTTCCTCCTGCCAGCATTCCACCCATATCCACTTGAATTTTCCCAGCACCATCTGTTCCGTCTCTGGATTGTTTTCGCACCTGTATTTTGACCTTCTTCCAATGGCATGGAATTTCAGCTTCGATCATTCTTTTTTTGGTGGCCGCCCAAACCATTTCCCTTGCGTTCTTGGTGCCTTCGAACGTTCTGCTGCATCTCTTTTTCTATATAGCCCACAGCGTGACCTTTTTTTTTGTTTTTTTTCAACTTTTCTTGTTTTTCAAACCGTGCCCCGATCTATTCGTGGGGGCAGCACGTGCTGGGAATCAGGCCCACTGCATCGTTCTGGCCGGAGCTGGAGTGAGTCACGTTGCTCTGTAACCTAGCAGATAAGGGGGCGTGAGACCTGGATGAGTTTGTCAGAGAATAAGTCAGTTTTGGTGAGCTTTGTTAGGACCTGTTGGAAAACCCCCTCGGTAATTGAGTGTTCGGAAAATTCCTGTGGATTTCAGGAGGTGTTTAGCAATCGTGAAAAAAATGTATTCGTAGTTTTCTCCATCATCGGTCTCAAATTTCAGTAGCTTGTTCACAATCATTGAGGATACTCTCAAGCCGAAACCGGGTACTCGCCCCGGTATCTAAATTTGTTCCTTTTTTTCTTTTCTTCACATGCCCACAGCATGACCTTGCGTATTAGTCCAAACCAGATCCCCTTTTTTTTTTCCTTCTGATTTGCCGAAGTTGGAAGGTAAGTTAGCTCAGAGGAGATAACAGGGCCCTTGCTGATGAGATGGCACAGTAAGGGGGTGTGGGAGAGGGGATAGGAAGAGGCTGTCCCACAGATCAGATGCCCTTGCCCGATATTCAGTGGCTTCTTTGCAACTGATTAATGTATCATGTCTTCTTGTTCCTGATCTGAACAGGCTCTGCAGATATCGGAGCTGTTCGGATTGTTCTTCCTTCTCCCAACATGCAGCCACTGATTTAACGGCAGAGCGGCATATGTGATGAGGCACTGCATGCTTCTGATTTTGATTGGCCTTATCGTTTTTTTCTTCATCTTTTTATTTTGTTCTCTGCTTAAAAAGAAATAGAGGGGTGCTCCCGTTGAAGGTCGAGAATTGGACGGGGCTTAGCTTTGAAGACTGATTCCTCGGTGTGCGCCATTCAGTCATCAGGCAGGGACAGCTCCTCGAAGTCTTCATTTCGGCCTCTTTTAAACCACCAGTATATCCGAGCCTCTTTTTCCTGCGGCAGATTTCTGCTGCGCACCAAGCTTTGCTGAAATTCCAGCGTGGTGTTCCCCCCCCCCCTTCCCCTTTTTTTCCCCGTTAGGCCGGCGCTGCCAGCCACTTTGTTCAGGTAGCACTGTTCATCCGAAGTTTTTGGAATGACACATTTCGATTCTCAAGTTTGTCTGGCCCGGTGTAATTGCTGTAAAAGGGGGTAGGGCCCGGGCCCTAATATTATTGTATTCATCTGATTCTATCAGGTTTCAAAGTTCAAACTCATGATGTGTTTATTGCTATGCTGGGCCGTCGCCTGGCTCAGCACGCCCGGGCCACTTGGGCGGAGGTGGGGCCGCCCAGCAAAACCAGACAGGTCAAAAAAGAGGCAAGGATCCCAAAAAGCAAAAAAAAGACTTCAGCCTGGGACTGCGCTTGGCCTCAGGTCTTAACTTCGATTTTGGTAGTGGTCCGGGGGGGGGTTGGGGGTTATAAACAGTGACTAAAGGGGTTTAAAAGGGTACATTGACTCATGTTTTCTCATTTATTTATTTTTTATCTTAAAATTAACAAGGAATTCCGAGGGGGCGCTCAGCCAAACGTTGTTTGTATTGCAACTTTACACAACATATTTTCTTTTCGGATTTTTAAGCCATTTAAAAAAAAAAAAATTATAATTTTTTAATATTATGTGCTGGGACCGTCTGGGACTCTGCCCGGACCCTGGCCGCCCCGGGCCACCCAGGAGGGTACCCAGGCGACCTTCCCCCCAGCCGGGCTGCCTGGGGACCAGGCTGACCAGCACATGTTTTTTTTTCTTTGAATATTTGGACCGACCAAGCTGCAGCAGCTAATCGAGTATCTGTGCATAGGACACGGAGATTCTGAAGACGAATGGTCGAGCACCTACGGGCCTTGTTTGGACAGTTCAGCACCGAGTGGCCATTTCGAACTCTCTCTATATGAGTGGGTTTTTTTTTTTTTTTTTTTTTTTTTCGTTGATGTGAGTGGTTTTAATGTACAACAACAAGAGATTCTTGTTATACCATGGGTAAAACACTCCTAAATGTGTCGTTGGTCTTACTTCTGGTTTCACTGTGCAGAGGAAGCGAGACGCTCTGCAGATGGATGCTGGGACGCTGTCAAGGGTGGAGGAATCGGATGTATTATGGCGCGTTAATTATGATGAGTTCATCAGGAGATTCCGTCATCAGGTAGCAGACACACAATCAGTTCCACCTAACCATAAATCACTACTCCCTCCCCACCCCCTCTCCCCCCCCCGTCTCGTGCAGCACCGTGTCTCCCCTGTGGTCTAAATCCCGTAGCAAACCCATCCTACATCCTGCAAAGCCACATTTCAAAACCCACCTAATAAAGAGTACAAAGCTCCTAAACCCTAGTGTGAGCAACAACGCTGTCTGGTAAAGCCCTATGGCCCTCCCATGCATGTCTGCCAGTGCGAACAACTGAAGGTAAATGCGTGCTGTGGTGGTCACCATAGTGCCTGAGTGCTATGTGTTAGGTAGCTTCTACTCTCTGATCCAGTGTCTAAGTGCTGTGCGTTGGTTAACCTCTACCTGCTGGTCCAGAGTTGAAGTATTATGTACTATGCGACTGTCCAGCAGCTCGATGCCAGCAAGAAGGAATGGAGTGTGTAAGTAGCCTCTTCCTGAGATGCACAGAGCTGCCAGGCTTCTCCATCGGCTGTCTGACTTGGAGGCCTCCTCTTGGGACCACTCAGATCAGACAGAGATGGATAAAAAATCCAGAAGGAATGCCATAAGAAAATAGGGATCATATCAGGGCTACACTCCAGCCTCAGTTGCAAGGAAATAAGCAATGCAAATAGCAATCAAGCATGGGAAGCTCATGGCGATGACCGTTGACATCGCCAGCAAGAAGCAGTGCTCCATTTTGATGCGACAGTGCGATATCCTTGAGAGGGAGGTCGACGTCCAGAAGCAGCATTACTCAGCGGCAGACAAGGCGAACAGGATGATGTGCAACGCCCTCCTCGAAATCGCCAGAGCCATCTGCGAGAGATCTCGATGTGCCCGTGTGCCGCGTGTGATCCGCAGCTTCTGTCATTGTATTAGGAAAGGCCAAATCTGTCGGTTGTGTCTCCGGTGGTGCATAGCGACTTTCTTCCCCTTAGCGTTGACATGTCGTGGACAGTTTGTACTCGTTCGGTAGATGTGCATCATCCTCTGCGTTCAGATTGTGACATCTCACAGAAGACCGAACATCATTGAGCTGAAATTGAAAGCAGAAATCAAAGCGAGATGCACACCAAATAGGAACGAGCAAAACACCGAAGTCTCTTGATAAAGAAAGCCCTTTTAACGCCTCCAATCATCGCTACAACGACAATGCAGCTCTTCTAAGGCGTCCTGCATGCCGACTCTAGCTTCTACCGCTCCTATCGATCTAGTCTAACTATGCCAGCAACCAGCCCACGTGTCATCAGCCCGATGTCTCTTGAAGACTCAGATCAAACAGCCTTCATTTGTCAACACTGGGTTCCACCAAGGACCGCCGCTTCTTCACCACCCGGCTATGGAGTGAGCACCCTGGCCATGGCTGCCACTCTCCCTCGTCCACCTCGCTGCCACCCCGCAGCTTTCTCCTGGGGCTCATCCGCTAAGCAGCCGTTCGTGCAGTGCTGCCACGTTGCCAGACTGCCCGAATGTACAGGGCAAGGCACCCTCCAGTCTTTTGTGCTGGCTGCAGAGGCCGAGGAAGCTGTGCCCAGGCTTCGCCCTGTCCCAGTTTCCTGCGCCCTGGGCCCTTCCAGAATCTGCATGAGGCCCAGCATTTTTTACTAACTCATGGGCTGGGCCTACCTGTTAGTTGAAGATGCTGCACACGTGCAGCGACTACCTGGGTCCCCAATTCTGCTCACATTGGTCTGAACTCAGGCCAGGCTACATTTTGCAGGCCCGCCTTCAATTAGGGCGGACGGGCCTACTCCTGGATGACCGAGGTGCTGAATCCTCGTGCAATGCTATCACCTTCCGTAGTCTACAACCTTGAAAACAGTCTGCGATGGCCCACCTAGCATGGCCACCAAATGCCTGAAATGTGCCTTCAGTTGTTCCCAACGAAACGCAAACCCTGTTTTTTGGTCGAGATGCACTCCGTGACCAAACAGCTGAGGACCAAAAACGAGGCCACACACTCCTGTTGTGAGACAAAGCATAGGAATGCAAAGATGCTTGCATCTCAAATGCTGAAAGTTTTCACTCATACACCAGACAAAGTGGGAATGCACGCAAGAGCAGGTGCTAGTTTTTTGGGCTTTAAACCATCACTACCATCTCCCCCTAGTTTTAAACCATCACTACTGTCTTCCCTTGCACACGGCGCCCCTTCATCCTGAGTGTGGCGGACCTGAAAAGTAGCTTGTATACATTCATGATCCGCAGGCATCATGCTCAGCGGAAGTATACGACTGTCCTGGTTACATGGAGGCTTGCTGCCCTTTCAGTTAAAAGGGCCTTTACGAATTAAACCCCAGATGAATGCCCCAACAGCGAGGGGCTCTGTCGGCCAGAACTTAATTCACGAGCAGCAACCCAAAAGACGAAGTTCCTGAGGCAAATGTCGCATCCATAATGAAATGAAAAGTCGTTTTGAACAGTCACAAACAGGTCCTGCACGAACAGGTATTGGACACAGTTTTCTAGACTGAGTTAGGGTCATGTCTCCTCGATGGAAAGTCATGTCTGTTCGGCAATGAGTCAAAGGCCACAGTCCCAGTTCAGTCATAATCCCACGAGTCAGTCCTGATTCAGACCAGGAGTCCAAAAGACAGGCCCGATGGCCCAAAGCAGCAGCAGACCATGGGAAAAGATACAGGGACACACGCTTTGCAACAACGGGTACTGGGCAGGAGTCCCAGACACTTGAGGCTGAATGCAGGGCACGCCAGGCCAGTCCAGCACTATAAAGGAATGGCCAGCCTCCCATTTGGACAGATGCTCATCTCGCATGAGAGTGTGGAAGTGCCGTGGCACTTGTGCACCAGATCTGTGTGAGCTGCGCTAAGCTGAGAGCAGCTCTACGTGAGGAAGAGGAGAGGGGCGCCGGCTGGAAGGAAGGCAGCCATAGCTGCACCTGCGCCAGTTAGTACATTAGTAGGGAAAGTTAGTAGAAGAGTCCAGTGAGTAGTATTCAAAGTAGATCCTCGTGTGATAGGGAGTGTGCATGCATGATGAGTGGGAGTAGACCAGGACAATAGACATAGAGGGAGAGAAGAAGGCAGACGAGAGAGGGGGAGGTGTGAGCTATGGTGACACTTACCTGTTGAGCACTGTTGTTGACGTTTGGCAGCTGGCGCTGATGAGCGCCAGGCTTGGAACTCATGTCGATCGAAGAAGACTTGTAACTCTGTTCAGCGCTATACCTTTTGGACTCACGAAATTCCTCTCTTATCTGGTTATGATAATTATTTCATCTTCTATTGGGTTTTGTGTGAGACATCACAATCTGTGAAATCTGTGTATATGCATGTGATCTGATGCACTCCAGCAAGTGATGAACAGTCGGGTTCCTTGCACAGTTGGTTCATTGGATTGGCAATCTGGCACCCAGTGCCCTTTTTTTTTTGCTCCTTTCTTTGCTCCCCTCTCTCTCTCTCTCTCTCTCTCTCTCTCTCTCTCTCTCTCTCTCTCTCGCCTGCACAGGGGTTAGTTAACCCGTTTTTTCAGGAGGTACTGGTGGTCTGAAAAAACCTCAAGTTGTGCGGAAAGCCCTTTTGAGGCCGGACATCCATGGACAACTACAACCGAAAATGACTGCTGCGCTGGGTTTTGAATCCTCCAGATAGCCCAAAAACTGCTGACATGTTGTTAAGGAACTCGAAGATGTATATTTGCAAAGAAATTGAGAAAAACTCGAAAACTGACGTCTTCAGTTTGAGGCTGGCTGGTGGTTTCAGTTCAGCCCCTTGTTCCCAAAAGAACATCGCCTTATATCATTTTCTAGGCGAGACCTTAGCACAACCTGCCGTGTGTTCCTATCTACAAGCTGTACGTAAGAACGTAACAATGACCAACCCCTCACAGGATACAGCTCTGATGATCTGATCCATGTACGCAGGGTGCACAATGTGATCCATTTGGAGTGAGATCCCATTCGCACCCTCCCTCACCCTGAACCATGGTTACGCTGGATCCGGCCCTGGCCCCACAGAGATATCCGGACAGTGTGGATCGGGACCCTGGATAGCTCCAGGACTTCGGGATTTCTCCGGACAAGGAGCGGGCCTCCCCGCCCCTTCCCCCCCCCCCCAAAAAAAAAAAAAACAAAAATACCTCGTTTTTGTTTTCTTCCTTTGATTTTGCTATGACCCTCACCCAAAAACATTGCTTGTCAATTGCAGTGCTGCATAACGTATCTTTCTTTCCAGATTCTTTCTAGGCTACCATAGTTGCACGTCCTGGCCCTCCTGGCTGGGCAACCTGGATGAACCTGCGAGGGGTATCTGAGCGACAGAAAAAGTTTTTTTTTTAAAAGAGTGACAGTGGGGCATTTCTGCGCCCACTGAGATCTGCCCAAGGTTATCCGGGTCTGCGGGCTGGATAATGATAGGTGGATGAAGCCGGAAGAAGTACATGCAGGGCCCAAAATAGGCTATATTTCACAAAGAAAAATCTGCAAAAAATTTAAAAAATCTTAAAAAAAACGTATGTTGTACATCAGTAGTTATAGATCCGTATGTCTGGGCCCAAGGCCCTCCTCCGTGCAAGCACAGATTCGAACCAGTGACCTCGGCCTCAAGAGCCAAGTCTCCTGAGTCCTAACCATTACAGCCAGGACATGGTGTTCAAAAGTGGAACCATACCGGTCATGATATCGACAAACAACTTTTGGCTGGAGGTGATTTCAAAATAAAATTGAAAAACTGTCTCCCTCTCTGCCTACGGTTTACTGGGCCTGGAATTTCTGGACAAATCTGCTACCCCTGGATGTTCCGGCCGGATGATCCAGGCAGTTGATCCGGCTGGAAATGTAGTGCTACCTAGCTTAGACTACCAGTACGTCACCCATGAAAACTTCAGGATCGAAAAGCCGACATTCCAGTTTCTTCAGATGAGCATTGCTAGTGGACCAAATGGCTGGTGTGCCAGGCAAACAGAAATGAAAATCCGCGGCAGTTCGTTTTTCTTTGGTTCGCAGGGGGAATCCGCCTCAATGAAAAGAGGCTTGG